ACTTTCATTCGAAATGAAGGTCCCCCTAACAATTTCATCTCAGGAGATTCATCGAAACCAAGTTTCTCTTTGTATCAAGGATTTAATAGCCCAGGAGACATCAGCTCTTAATTCGGGTGAAAACGGGTTCAGTTTTCCTTCGCCAAACACAAAGATCATTTCAACTGGGACTTATTCCTGCAAAAGTCTCAAGTTAACGCTAAATCCACAAGACAGTTTTGATGAATTCTCTGCGATAACATTGTTGCGGAAGTCTTCCTTTCGTATGAAAGAGATTTTTACGTCGATCCCACCAGAAGACAACGGTTGATTCACGTTTTTCTGGAATGATTTGGATTTAATAGCCGAGGAGACATCCGCTCTCAATTTAGGTGAAAACAGGTTCATTTTTCCTTCGCCAAATCACAAAAATCATTCCTGCAAAAGTCTCAAGTTAACGCTAAATTCAGAAGACTCGATGGAGGGTGTCTCGTAGACTGCATCAATCGGAAGGTCGTATTACAGCCGAAAGCTGCGTCTTATTCTTTTAAGCTCGACCTCCGAATCTCTTCATGAAACACACTTTCATGCGACATGAAAGTCTTCACAAAAAGCCATCCCAGTGGCCCAATCCCTCCCTCCTGACCCTCATTTCTGGTCCAGAGGTACCAAGACATGAAGGGTCCGATGGACGTCGGTGCAAGGGTGTTGTCTAGAACCCACTTTTCTGTTCATTCAATATTGTCACAATCATCGTATGTACCGTCGTCTAATCACCCCTTGCCAAATTCCTGTTCTCTCCTCCACAGTGCCCACTTTGGGCTTAAACCTGGCCACCTGCGAATTCACCGAGTGTGACAAAAAGGCCGACTGCTTCTGGCGCCCGTTCAAGCAGAAGGGAGTAGACGGACACCCCTACGAGTGTGTTTGTCGCAACTTCTGGATGTCGCCGCATTGGCGAACTGATATCAAACCAGGCACCATTTGCATCAGTAAGCAAACCTTATTCTTGCTCTGCCCAACATGTTACTATGCGCTGGTATGCCAATACCCGTTTGTACGTCTACATTTGTGTATGCATTTGGAGAGGCATGGTTGTGTCTCGACGTCAAGCGAGGCATAACTTAATATCCATGCCAGTAATCGTACACAGACTATCAGTGATTGTTCAATTCATATAAGATGTATACCCAAAAGGAGGATTGCACTTCACCTGAACTCTTCTAACCAGCACCCCTAGCGGGACTCGAGCACGGGTCGGCGATGGAACCACTCCCCTATAGGACGTGGTTACGAGTTAGAGACAAACAAACAGTTGCCA